AGTCTGATACTACATTCAACCAGGTTTATTTTAAACCAATTTTGGCCATTTTCAAAGTGTTTTTTTGCACTGAACTTCTGTTCTATTGCAGGTTTAAACCAGTTTCCAATTGCTTAAACCAGTTTGTGTAACTTCTGTCCCAAGCTTTTTTGGTGATAATTTATTTGATTAATTTCACCAAAATTCTCCTGGAAAAATATGGTGGGAGTAGTATTTTGTCTCCAGGGTAGAGAACAGGTTCTACTTCCGGTTATGAGCCTCCTAAGATTTATATCTACCTTTTTTATGTCTAAGGGGAATGACTTAAGCATCAGAGTATATGGTAATTTGGGCCAGATGTTTTCAGTCTTTTCATACACGTTCCATTCTGCAGAAGTAATTAACATGTACAGGAACAAGGACTTGGACTGAGATGTCTTGCCTCCCACACAGATTTCCTAACCACCACAGCAGAGAGTTATTTTTCTTTCACACTCTCTCTTTCTCTGGTTCAGTTAATATTTTATTTGTTCTATGCGATATGGAACAGCTCCAGTAGATGGACTCCAAGAAAGTGAAGAAGCCCAAACTCTACTGAGGAATCTGGATGTTCTTACATTCTCCTGAACCCTAGGAGGCCCAACTTCCAATCCATTTTGCATCTGATTCAATGTTGGGACATGAACCAATATAGTCATTGAGAGAGTGCGACTAACCTTGTAATTAGTCCACAATCACCTGGAAAAATGGCACACCTGAGTTCCATTCCTGGCTTGGGAAATGTTTGTGCAAAGTGGAATGCTATCAACAGAAGATACTGGGAGCTGTTCCCTCAAAACCACCTACTAGTTTGGTGATTAGGGCACTTCTGGTGGAGGTTTAGTTCAAGTGCTCTCAGTTGAGGAAATTTAACTTATCCCTCATATGCTGAGTGAACACCTTGATTGCTGGGCTATTGAGTAAAAAGAGGCCATGGCTATTGAACTAAAAGATCAATTATACCTGTAACAGGTTCCATATTTACTGTTTCCATCAAGTACCCTTTAGCTCCCTGTATGTGGTAGGGGTGAATCAAGGGCCTGACATAATTTTTTTTTTTTTTTTTTTTTTT